TTTTTTCGCAGATCGTCGGCGAACAAGGTGAGCGTGCATAAATATATACTCTTCTCTGTCTCCATATGAATGATGTAATTGTGTACGTAAAAATGGTGAGTTCACTTAACATGTAAATATTGTGTGCGTAATCAAGACTCTACTGAACCTGATCATGGTTTGCAAACATGCATGGGGAGAAAGTGGCCATGAGCTGGCTCATGCTGGATTTTCTAGAGAAGGAATGCTGACGGCTGCAATATGTTGTGATATATGTGCCTATCCTCCTGTTGACTACATTTTTGCAGTTAACATAAACCATGTGGTGGTATATAATCTTTAAGTCATCTATGATTCACACTGTTCAGGTCCTTGACGAATCCGAGGAATCTGAAGCTTCTCTTAAGGAGAAAAGGCGGCACCATGATATAACCCCAAGTATGCCACTCTACTTATTTAGTCGCCGACATTAGTAAAATAAGTTAAGCTCTCGACTGCTAAACTATTGTGTTATATGTCAATTTTATTGAGGGGTTTATGTTTATGAAATCTTTGTTGTTATATGTACTTTATACTAGCCGAGCATGTGGAGCCAAAACTGATGGATGCAAGGAGATAATTTTATGCAGGTAAAGATATTAATTGGCTGCTGAGACGTTATTGTATACCTTAATCCTAATTCTAAGGCATAATTAGAAAAGCTAATTTGAGATAGTTGTCTTAATTACCACGAAACTTAGTTTTACTAAATTTTCTATAAAATACCTTCTTGAGTAGAAACAACCCTTTTCGGACATTACAACTTGGAATAGTCTAATGAATTGCCAGGGGATTTATTTATGTGTGATTTTTTAATGTTGATTTGGTAGTTCAGCAACACATGGGAGTATTCGTCGACAAATGTGGGTTTTTTTTTTTTTTACTTGATTAGTCAAAACTTGTAATGAGGATTTGAAATTGGTGATGATTGTGCTTGAAAAAGAAGTGAACATTTAAGGGGTGTGGTTTTATTTATTTTTCCTTTTTTTTTATGTTTTAGTTTTGTCAGTAGTTACTCCATTTTAGAGAAAATAACATCCAAAAACATGCTAATGTAGGAGCACAATTTTCAGAAAAATTTTTATAGTTCTTTTTTTTTTCACATATATATGAATTTGCATACTCACTAAACACTTTCCTTTTACATTTTCTACAATTATGATTGTTGGATATTTTATCATGTTGTAGGACTTCAACTTGGATTCATATCAAGTAATTTCAATATATTTATAAAAATCCTATCAGATGTATGTATAAATATATTGATAAGGTTAGATACATTTTAAACTTCAATTTTTTGGTGCCAATAAAAGAACAATCAATATTTTACAGTTAGAGACTAAACTTTGGTCGGCTGTGCGTGCACAGCCAATGACCCACTAGTATATAAATATTAATATGAGTTGTAATTTTTTTTCGTCGTTAGATCAACGCACACATAGATATGTATGTACTAAATAGTAAATACTAATGGAATGATAAAATCCTAAAAAGTACTGTAGCACATGTAGAGACGAAACGAAATTGATTCAAATATAGTTATTAGAGTATATATTGACTAGATTTAAGTGCAGTAAAATTAAAAATATTTTTCAACGATAATTAGAACTTATGACTAAATAGTGTAATGATTTGAATAATGTAATATTTTAAATCCAGAAATTCTATGGCACCACATGTGGCACCATATTATGGTGCCATAATATGATGTGGCGAATTGTGATTTGTGCCACAACTATCACACATCATGTTGTGACATCAATCATAATGTGTCACATCATGTTGTGGCACCATAATATGGTGTCACATGTAGTGTCATAGAATTTCTGATTTTAAACCCCAATTGTATATAGAGACACGTGTATATATATCCTTGACAATAAGTTTGGTATTTATACTCCAACTAGTACAACTCATGTGTAATACACGGTGCTTGCTAATTTCTTTCTTAAAATGTAAAATTAATGAGAAAAATAGTTGAAATTTAAATACCTTTTATAAAAATAAATATATTATTATATATTGAGTATGACAGTTTTTATTTGTGCGACTTACCCGTGTTATATTATAATATTTTTTTTAACTTACAACATGTAACTACAATAAACATATATATATATATATATATCAATTGAGAAATAATTTATTTTTCTAATGAATTTTAATAAATATAATTATCTTTTATTGTTACAAATATAAATATAATTTATTTATTTCAATATATACAATATAGATATCAAATCGAAGATCATCAAAAGATGATTAATTTGATATATTATATATGTAAAACCGATAAGAAATACAAAGGTTATCAACTTTTAAAATATATTTACAATTCAATAGTTAATTGAAGGAAACAAATCAAAAGTCGTGATATATTAGTCACTTAGTGCCTCACTATGTAAAATTACAAGGAATTAAAGAGTTATATTAGTAGAAGTAATATTAAAATACCTAAGTTAGCTAAATAATATTTATGAAATGTCTGAACTTAGATTAATAATTATTAATATATCAATATTATTTTGTCCAAACCTAATTACAAAGCATGATTATTCGCCAAGTAGGATTCCAAGCACCAGAAGCAGCCACATAAGCTCAACGGCCAACGCATTTGAGAATTATATATAAGGAGGATTATCACATGTGCATTTTATATGTTAATAATGATTGTTGTGATGTGATGCCATCATACATATTGCAAAGCATGTAGAGTTTACATATCCTTTCAAATTAACAAAAAAATTCACAACCTTATGTGTTGTCATAAGTCTTAACCGGGACGATCCATTTTAGAATAAAAAATACATACTTTTAATATCAGACTAGTATTCATCCTGTGCCCATGCATAAAGAAAAATAAAAATTTATATATTATATTTATGTATACAATATATACAAATTTTATATTAAATAATTGATGTATTACATTTTTAATTTGGACTACATGCAAATGTGTAATGTAAATATAATTTATTTAACTTACGTATGAATCTTTATATTGATGCCATAAATTTTAATGGCTAATATAATTTAGTAATTTAGAGAGACCATACAATTAATTAGTTAGAAAAGTATTACAATTATTTTTATCATTGTTATAGCATTTGTTTATGTGATTTTAAGGTGTTTAATTCTGACACTCATGCCAATTAACTTATTAGATAAAAATCGCTTAAAAAAGAACAAAAGTATTTTATTTAGAAAAAAGTATTTTAAAGAAAAAAATTGCAATACAATTTTATATCAGTATGTAACTTCCACATACTATTTAATGTAAAGTTGTAATCAATTAGTGTTAGTAGTGAATAAATTATACTCCCTCCTATTTTTTTTAAATGTCATTCTAGCTTTATCAACTATTTGTTAAATAAATGTCGTTTTGGATCTTTTGTATATATTTTTCCATTATTACCCTCATTTAGCTAATAAATACATCACGTCTTTTCATAATCACTCTTCATCTTTTTCTCAAAACATTCATCTCTATCTTCATTAAATAAGATTATTATTGACAAAAAAAATATTCTTAATAGATGTGCAACATCTCAAAACGACATCTATTTAAAATAGGAAGTAGTATTAAAATTATTATTACACCTTATTAATGAAAATGTAACAGTTCTTTATTAATTGAAAAAATGAGCGAAAAAATGAATGGAGGTTTTATTAAATGTTTTATTAAATTATATATGCTAGCA